AGTCAGTACCTGCCTGTCCGTCTGGATCTGGAAATCCCACAGGATCTTAGCCCTGTTATTCTCCACAACCTTCTGTGGAATCTCCCATCTGTACTTGGGAGGGTCTAGCCCATACACTGGACAGATGTTCCTGTACACAATGCCAGCTACTTGGTCAGGCCATTCAGTGTATGCTGTTCCTGCCTGAATCTTATACCCTGCCACTATGTGTTGGACTGTCTCTGAGGCCTCTCTGTGCATTATTTATTTATATATACAAACACACATGCACGCACACGCACACCCACACCCACATAAAATATATATGGTGCTATTTATCTTGCATGATAAATCATTTAGCTTACAACCAAAATTCATTGTTGCCTTTACCTTCCTTTCTTTCTGACCTTCAGTGTCCTCCAGGGATTCTTGCAGGACATGATCCAAGATCTTCATTTCTAAAGCGAGCTCATCTTGCTTTGCTTCATTGAGACGCCTTGCTTTCTCCCTCATGGAATCCAGCAACATGTCTCTGCATTCTCTCAATTTCCGCTGTCTTTCTATCTCGGCCTGTTCGTTCTCTAGTTTCATCAACTGCCGTTCTTCTTCCTGCGCAAGAGTAGCAGCAGTTGTTTACTCATCAGCCTCTGCCTGATAACGTCTGATGGAGCAGAAAGAAGTTGGATGTGGTGCAACACACTAAAAATAGTTTAACTGGGCATAATATATGAAGTAGGTGTGAATGTGGAAGGCTGACTTCATCAGAAGACAAGCATGCACCTCTTTTTCTCAGAATTCTCTTTGAACAGAATTCCTGAGAATAGGCAGCACAATTTCCGCTAGTTTGAGATGGGGAACATAGGAACTGTAGTGCTAATCCTACAAAGGTTTACCATAGTTTTAAAGTCTTCCGGGCACCCCCAAACTCCCCTCTAAAATCTAAGAAATGAAAAATCCTGGCTCCATCCACATGTGACATATCCTGCCCGCTTTGCAACATTACCCCTGCCCCTACAGCCTTTGTATTCCCCAAAATTGTTGGGCTACCCCTGTACCTAAGAGGTTGTTCATCCCTGATCCATATAACTAACGATATAGCCAACAACCATAAATTATCATCCAATCTAAACCTCTGGGCAAAGACTGCAGAACAGGGGATAATTATGCACAGGAAATTATAGCAAGCCACAATAACTCAGATTTAATTATAGGCCACTGTCAAATTGATGGGTCACGCATTTTTCTTTTGAAGAAAAAGGGGTGGGATGGATCCAGGGTATAATCTTATGCTAAGCAGTGCTTGACGAGATTTTCAAGATCACAGGGTAGGATAGAAGCATAATAAATAAATAAGAGAAGTGAGAACGGGCTAATTTCCCCTGTCTCTTTTCTATAAGCAAGATGTCAAGCACCATATTGGAGGGCACAATCAAGAAAGCAAGTACAATACAGATGTCAATAAGAAGTTTTAATGCCAGAATTGGAAGAAGGTCCAGAACTGTGTTAGGAACTTCCAATCCTTCTTTATTAGCGAGCTCATTAAGGTGGAATCTCCTTCAGCATATTTAATCTCTTATTCCTGGGCTTTCTGCAAGCCAGACTCAGCTGCCACTAATACGATAAGCTACCAACAAACTTCTCTCTCATCTATGTATTGTTTATGTCTGTGGTTCCTCCCATAACATGTCAAGTTAAAAGGTGGTTGGCTAGTTTGTGATTCAATGCACCACATGTGTACAGCCTATGTAAACCCAACCTCTTCCATCACCTGTAAAAGGCACTGAGATAAAATGCTTTCCTTTTCTCCAGCCCCATCCAGATATCGTGAAATTGCAGCTTTGAGCTCTGCTGGAACTCCTGGAAAATATGTTTGTTTTATTTCTGGCTAGGTTCTCCAGCTGTTGGGGACAGGGTGTGAAGGGACTACATTGGACCTTCTCCGACCAAGGAAGAAGGACAGGATAAGTACCTAACTACACGTCCCCTCCAAGCAGCTTGGTAGGGGAGAATCCAATCCTCTAAGAAAAAAGTTAGCTATAGTGGGGAAAAAAAGAAGGCTTGAGGGTCTTCAAAGCTTATGTTAATTATGCAAGTAATTACAGATAGCTACCTCTGGACAATAGAGGACTATACTTTTCCTTCCCCGGCCCCTTAGAAAATGTTAATTATTTTGGGTTTTTAAAGTTGCAACTGGAATGAAATGTGAGAATGACCTTGGGAGATTGGGCGTAAGAGACGCTGCCTAGGGAACATCAGACAAAAGGGGGAGGAACCTGCAACTGATTAACGGGCAGAGAAAGAAACTTAGAAAGGACCCACTCTAACTCTCAGGTGGTAAAAAGAGATGGCAGGAGATTTGTACTTTCAGACTTGCAAGATTCTGTGTAACGTAGCCTTACAATAAAGTAGAATTAGTTCATCTGGTAGTGTTTCTATCTGGTCTATTTGGGAGGCTGAAGGCAATAGATGTTCTTGGGGGGGTACTAAATCCTGAGATTCCTTCATCATCTCTAGCTGCAGGGTGAGATGGTACTGTGCAGTTTTCTGAACTGATTTTATGGGATGCTGGCAATCTCTGGGCCTTCATGTATTTCTCTGCATTATGGCAAAAGAGAGACATGGTTAAGTGGCTTTATTCCTCCCCTCCTCTTTCAAATGCAATGAACTTTTTCACTGGTAGAAGCCTTGGGAGCTCAGCAGAACTGTCAGCCAGCCTGTTCTCTGACCACTGGAAGAGGATTAGCTCCTTCTTTCATAGAAAATAAACACCTAACCATACTAGATCACTCAGAGATTATAAAATGTGGTCAGAGACAAGTCCAAACGAAGGAACACAACTCAGTCAGTTGAAAATCCTTTAAGTCTGCCTTCCCCAACCTAGTGCTGGTGTTAGCCCTCCAAGGTAGACCAGACGAGGAACCCAAAACCATGCATGCTAATACTACTTTTATTATAGGGTTACAGTAACAGAACCTTGCAAGTCTGAATGCGCTTCCCCCCTCTCTCCCTTCAACTTCATGAGAACTAGGGAGGGTCTTCTCTGAGATGCTTTCTTAGGTTACAGTTCTGCCCCAGACTCAGATTTCTTTTACTATATCTGACCATTGTCTTGGCAGCAGCTCTTCCTTCTGTTCCTCAAGGTTATTCCTTCTGTCATTTACATCTCCCTAGTTGTAGTGGACTACCATTCCCATCATCATCAGTTTGGTATCTGGCCATTCAGGGTGGATGATGAAAGAAGATGTAGGCCAACACCTACATCTAGGTCCCCTAGATCTGGGAGCTGCAGAATTTCCATCTTCCTGGATGGGATGGCACTACCCCATTCAGGCTTGGTGAGCAATGTGGGGTTTTTCCTGGACTCACAGCTCCTACTCGAAGAGCAGGTGGCACCTATGGCCAGGGGGGCATCTTGTGTGCCTGTTGTGCCCATTCTTGGACCAGCAGGCTCTGCTTATGGTCACTCACACCATGGTCACCTCCTGATTTGATTATTACAACACACTCTACATGGGGCTATCCTTGAAAACCATCTGGAAGCTTCAGTTGGTCCAGAATGCAGCAGCGCAGGTAGTTATGGGTGCATCTCATTATGCCCATGTAACACCACCCCTCCAGAAGCTGCACTGGTTTCCATTAGGCTTTGAGTGTGATTCAAGGTGTTGGTCATCACCTTTAAAGCCCTCCATGGCATAGGAATGGGTTACTTGAGGGAGCGCATTTTCCCAAGAACATCTGTCCACCTGACACGCTCCCATAGGGAGGGCATGCTCCAGGTTCCTTCTTTTAAATTTTGTCATCTTTTGGGACCTGGAAAGCATGCCTTTTCTGTGGTTGCCCCTGTTCTGTGGAACAATCCCCCGCCCCCCAATATACGACAGGGCCCAACTCTTCTCACCTTTAGGAAAGCCCTTAAGACTGCTTTTCCTCCAGGCATTAGGGGCCAGTTGAATGGGAGTCCCCTTGTGGTTGTTTTGTTATATGCTTGGTTGCCATTTTACATTTTATATTTTTTGTTATATATTTTTTTCTTTTTTGATTTATTGTTTTTATGCTGTACACCACCCGGAGTTGGGCAGCCTTAGGAATTTTAAAAACAAACAAACAAATAAAACACCTCGAAAGGCACTAGAATGGATAAGGTTGCTATAAGCATTGACAGTGGCTTCTAAGGCAGTTATTAAAGCTTTGCCTGAAATATAAATCTGAAGCCATTGCGGTGACCCACAGTTGGCAGCCAGTGACCTCTTTGTCTTGCAGAGCCTTTATAGCTGTGCCTGATACATATATAATCCCACCTCCTCCATCCCAGAACTGTCCCCACAAAGGATTGTGAGACTAGGCTGAAGCTGCCATAACCTAAAGATGAAGCAGGCACGTAAGCAGGGAGGACAAAAGCCAGGAAACTTA